TTTCAATGGCATGTTTTCCTCTATTTTTTAAATGGATTTTGATGATAAAATTTTTAATTTTTTTTCACGTTTTTTTAAATGAAAAATCGAAGTTTCATTTGTCATTTTAAATAAATTAAGCATTGATTTATACGATATAAGATATATACGAATATAATTTATCATGTTTTTCAGTAACATTAAAATAATTCTTAAATCTGTTCGATATATTATATCAACAATCTGTATAGATACGAAACACTTGCCGCCTCTAAGTTTATATATCGTTATCGTAAAAATATCCAAGTATTCCTTTCAATTTCATATAATGATATATCATAATATTATTTTATTCTCCCTTTTTAAATTCGCCAACTTGAATATATAATTGGAAATTCGCCGAATCGAATCTTTTCCGCGAACTACACGGAGAAGATTGAAAATGGTGACACGAGTGGCAAGGTTTGTGTCATCCTCGTTACCCGATTTTCTTTCTACCGCCGATCTTTCACCACTCGACGTTTAAATCTCTCTCGAGTGTCCCCGAGGTTTTTCCTACACTCGCGGCGGGCGGAGCAGGATTTCGTGCACGCCATCGTATAATACCCGCCGCGTATTCATTATGCCTTCCTTGACAAATTAACGCGAAGGCAGAAGCATTGGGGGCGAGGAATCTGTTGAATCCACGATGGCGATTTTCTCGCTCCACTGGAGAATTTCGCGTCGTGAAATATTTTCCCCCCGATTCATAGATCGTAACGAAGAGATTTATTTCTACTCACAGATGAATCTTTAATATCTCTCAATGTTGAATTTATATACGTTCCCTTGAAGGAGTTTGAATTTCTGGATGTAAAAATTTGTGAGAAGTGATTAAATTAAATCAGCACAGGGATATGATTATTTTAGGATGATATTCAGATATTCAGAGATTATAAATATGTATTATAAAATAAATTTTGATATTTTTCGGATAATTTATTATTCGTTAAAATTTCAATCTCCTTCTATTATTAAAGCATTAATTTAACCTAAGTTAATCTATATTTTCCAGATCAAATTCCACGTCCACCAAATGAGGGATGCATTAGGGACAATCTCGCGCAATAAACCATCCAAGGATTAAGCCTTAATGGGAGCCTAACATTTCTAGAATTATACAAGCTCCAAATCTACCTGTCCAAATCCTATCCTTCGAACATTATTACATCCTGTACAAAATCTGACCAAAATTCTCCAAATATGAACTTTCGATTTGAATTTCGTTGAACGAGTTTATCTTTTTAATTTCTTCTTAAATTCGAAATTTAAATTGTTAATCGATTTTGGCTCGAATTTCTCAAAGCATCAAATGCATAAAAACCTAGGATGTAATATTAATTTTCCTTTAGAGAAATTAAATTATCATCGATATTAAATCAAGTTTCACTTCTTTGTATTACATTACACAAATAAGTAGAATTAGAAGATTGAAAGATTGTAAATTGAATATTATTAAAACTCTTATTTTTCATTTTAAAAGACGTTCAATCGTTTGATCAAATTCACTTCGTATTAATAATTGAAGAAAACTGTACGTGTCTCGTCAAAACTTATTTTTTTAAACTTATAATACAAAGAAAAAAATCGTAACAGAAATTTCCTGTTACAAAATCGATCTTACTCTGCATCATGCAGATCGAAAGGATTCGAATCGGTGGAAAATTGGATTCAAACCTGGTAAACATTCCTTGAGGGAGAGGGCGAGAATACAATGGAA